ATTAAGCAGATGAACAGCCGACACGTTGAAAGAGTTCACGAGGGGATCTCCGTGAAGCAAGCTGGTAGAATCATCAGCAGAAGCATTTCCACTTGAGAATTCCAAACAATCTACTTTTGCCAATCGTCTGTCGGGCTTCCTTGGCTTTCTCCACTGCCAAGGTCATTGCAGTAGTAGGAGGCCGGTCGGACGAAGTGGTAGTCATTAAATAGGAAGGTGGGTTAGTTATACTATACAACACCAAGGGGAATGAGTATACTCAAATTATTGGATTACACGTACCAACACTCGGTGATTCAACACGACATGATACCAAGTGGGATTATTATATGATTAATAAATCAACCTATGATACACCCCTAAACGAATTGACAACAACTCAACCACAAGAATGCTGATATCATCATCATCATCATCAACGATAACACAGGAACAGTAGGAGTGGGTAATAATCCAACCCTAGCATACTCCATTCACACGATGAAGATGTCAAAGACCTGATGATGTTGCTGGCCAACCTTACCTCCGATGAGAATCGTGAGATCAGCCTAAACCGCGTCATACATGGGTATTCTCCCGACAGCCACCATCAGGATTGCTCACACTCCCACGCACCCTGTAGAAATACAGGAATATCTTTAGGTTGATCTGGCACTATACAGATTAAAAGATTCCTCACACACACGAAAGAACTATACGGATCCTACCGCAATCCTGGAAGCTCATCGAGATGAAACTTCTGACATGAACTTAAACGAAGGGCAACAGCAATACATAATTCATACAATGACGAAATTATAATGGTCATGATGATTCCAAAACTCAAAGGTAATTCCAGTACCGTAATTTACACAATTACCCACGATATGTTCATGGCAGATTAGTGTCGACTGATGTCACAGGAATCTTTCAGATTGACCCGAGCGTAATTTCGTGGCGCGTGACACATACGGAATCATCTACCACTCTCCTCGCAAAGGATCGACGATTTTCAAAGTTTGACTAATCGATTAAAAATAAACAAATTTAATTTGATATTTTCAATCGAAATGAATTATTTAAATCAATTTTGCTCGTAGTCAAGTACGGATCTAGGATTACTTCATATCCACACAGTAAGTTTACTCAACCTCCTCCCACAAGTTGTATACAGACATGTCACTAAATGTCCTACAAGCGAGTAAGATACTTTCAGTGTAGATTATAATGGCTGCTGCTGCTGCTCTCGGCGATAACTCCAATCCGTTGGTGTACTCGTCCGATTCGGAATGTGAAGATCTTCTCGGGAGCCTTTCCCTCGGGGAAATCGAGAATTGGGATAAAGTGGAGGAGTCCGAGGTTGACCCTATCACACCAGTAGAGGTAAAAGGGTATTGTCGGTAAAGCCTTTCGAGCATTTGCCCTCGATAAGTATCCTTAGGTTTTTGAAATAATTCGTCGTTTGCGAGACCCAGAGCACCCGACGCTCTCCTTAGAACAGCTACGAGTGGTGACACCAGAACAGGTAGTATCACGGATTCAATCTCAATACTTGGCATCTTGGTTACGGTCATCGAGCTAAATTAATCGTCCTTCTCCTTTTCAAATTATTCTTCGAGTATTTAGGAATACTTTTTTCAACGTTACATTTCAACCGTGTTTTGGTGAGATGCACCAAATGAGTATATTTTGGCTAATGTTTACAACGTTTAGTCGCCCGGAAGGGTTAATAACGAAAAGCAACATTAATAACAGGCGGAGTCCTTTTAATTAGCGTTAGACTACTAGAACGATACCGATACGGTTTAGGTGGATCCTCAATGTTGGAGGAATACATGTTCGCTCTCCTGCATTACAACAGTTTATGTACGGGTGTACAGAAATCGATGAGAATTTCCCAAAATTTTCTCAATGTTTTCAAATTGTCAGCGACACATGTAATTGATTATGTGCATATTCCCCACTGTTCCTGAACAAGTCTTTGCGAGTCGTTGGTGCTCCCAGTGATTGGTCAAGATGATATATCGGTACAACTTGGATGAATATTCGAGTGGATTCCCGGGAAGTTTCTTTGTATTTGATGATGTTATTCACAGATACAAGTCACCAACGGAGTCACGGATGGCATTACCAGAATCGATGTTGAATTCACACCAACGGTAGTATAATAATTGTTCATGCCGCCAAATCGATCGCGTGATCGATTTAGATACCAACATGTTCCGTCGCCACTTTAATTGGGTTGACTATCCGAACGAAACTGCAGAAATGCGTTTGTGGGGCGAATGGAAATGTTAAGATAAATGTGAACATCAAGGAAGGTAGGACTCGGGAATATGTCGCGCGCCATGAATATATTGACAATATTTTCCGCTTTCGGTGTGGTATTTGTTGAGTCAAACTTGGCGATAAATGTCTCTCGACGTGGAATCGTTATGATCAAATGTATCCCTTCTCCCTTCTCCTAGACTTCCGGATGGAAATTCGGCTACATCTCAACTTAGACATTCACTTCAAATTTCATCATCATTGCGGCTTGATGGTAATGTTCGAGTGCTGATTACATCCTTCTCATGCTTTTGAAATAAGTTACTCATACTTCGTAAAATTGGGTCCAAAGGTATAGATTGCTGTCCGATCTCAACAGGAAGAGGAGGAGGAGGGAGCATAGTTGGTGTGTCAACGCAAATGAATCTGCTGCTATAGTTATATTTTTCGGTTCTCACTGGATTATGACTAGGTACACATGATCAGGAAGAGCAGGTGAATAAGCAACTAAACGACAAGGAACGGTGTCAGGCTGCGATAGAGAATCCCAATTTACAAAAAGTAACTAGTTGGGCATCCCTGGCGATCCTGTCTTGGCCATTTGCTCGTTGTAGTCGTCATTCTGTAGGTAATTCGACAAGGAATCTTCGCTAGTGATCCACCACTTCCAGCTCAACTTCAGCTTATACCTGTCGGTTAACGGCGGAGCGAAGCGAAATATGTTATACAACTTCTCATTCACTCTCCAAGAT